CCACACGCAGGTGCGGGGCCGGGGCGGGGGGGCCGGGGGCTCGGGGGGCCGGGCCGGGCGGTGGCTGACGGCTGCCGCCCCCTTCTCCCCTCAGCGGTTTAAGGGCACGGAGGGCGCGGAGAAGGCGGTGGAGAAGGCGAAGCCCGCTAAGGCAGAGGAGGCCAAGGGGAAAGCGGCCAAGCCCGAGGAGGCTGCGGAGGAGGTCAGTGCGGCACCTCGCGTGGTTCGGGCGATCGTGCGGGCAGCCGAGTTAACCAGGGCTTCAAAAGCTGGTTGCAGCAGGGAGTGTGGTGTTTGTGTCTTAACCTTACGCAGCTTCTGTAACTTGAATTAGTGATGGGCCCTGTGCGTCTCTCCCAAAGCCTGTCTTTGCTGGAAACTGCGCCTGTGCTGCTACATTTTCCCCCAATATTACAGCACTGCAGTAACGCATGAACGCTGTAAAATGTGCCCTTCACTAACACTGCATGTGTTCATTCGGTGCCTTGAACTAAGTACTTGTTCAGTCTCGAATGTAGTTGGTCTGAGACTAGTTAATGCAGCAGTCATAACTCTGTTTTTATAAACTTAGGGGCCACCAAAGTATACAAAATCAATTTTAAAGAAGGGTGATAAAACCAACTTTCCGAAGAAAGGAGACACTGTTCATTGCTGGTATACAGGAAAACTGCAGGATGGAACAGTCTTCGATACCAACATTCAAACAAGTAAGGTCACACACGTACTGTTCGGCTGTTGTTGCAAATGCAGGTAGAGGAAATCAGCTGGAATCGTTACGGAGCCTTGGGCAAGCGTTTGCTTCTGGAAGGTGTGCGTGGCGGGAGTTCTGACAAACAAAAAAAGTGTTGCCATCGCGTTGTTGAGCTGACCGGGGGTGTCCCTGCAGTCTGCTCCTGGAGCCCGATTTTCCATGAGGGAATGCAGGGCAGTATTTTAGGACTGGCTGGTGTCAAGTGACACTGCTGCATCTTGCCAGACCTCACGTTTGGCATTCTCCAGGCCATAAATAATGTGAAATGCGGGGATTTAATCAGCACTGAAACTACTTCGGAGGAAAGACAGCTCCTGCTCGGGGAGCTTCCCTTATCTGTGGAACTCGAGCACCAACAGGGGAGCTGGCTTCTCTAAATAGACTGCCTTGGTGCGCTTCTGTAATAAACCCTCACACGTGGAGGCACTGGAACGCGAGTGGTTTCAAGTAGTCTGGTGTACCATATCCACTGCAGAGAGTACACTGGTGTTTATTTTTGTGGCAGTTTCTTAATCAGAGGATTTAGGTGTATGGAATTCTGAAACACTAGAAATGTTTTTCCAGCAGTGATGCCCAGCACTGAGAGGAGCAGCAGGGCTGCCACTGGAATACTGTCTGTGATTTATCGTACTTATGATGTTGTACGTTCCCTATTGACTCATTTTCCTTCACTAACGTGTTTATGACTTGTACCGTCAACTTCAGTAATTCAGAAATGAGTCTTTGAGGTTCACTGGATCAGCATCTGAAAGATGCTCGTCAACTTTAGCTCTTGGTGCAATGTGAACATTTAATAATGTTTTTAGTGCACAGCACTAAATTTTCCCATTAAAATCTGGCAGTGGACTAAATATTATAAGAACAGATATTCATGTAAAGCATGATTGTAATAGTAATTTTAGACAGAAGTATGGTGTGTGCTGGTGTGATGTTAAAGCAAATGAACATAAAACTGTTTTTCAGGTTCAAAGAAGAAAAAAGCAGCCAAACCTTTAAGTTTCAAAGTTGGCGTAGGAAAAGTAATCAGAGGTGTAAGTAAACCATTAACAACTCCCTCAGAATCCAAAACCAGTTTTAATTCTGCAAGATTTATGACTGGGGTACAAATTTTGAGCTGCTGTTCTTGTTGTGGAGGTGAACAAGAGGCAAGTTGAAAGTGTTTACATTGGCAGGATGCAATAGTTATTCTTTACGGATGTGTTCATCCACCTGCAGTGTCATTCCTCTTGTTAAGCAGTGTGTGGAAACAGTACAACGACTGCGTGTTCCCCGGGAGAGGCACAGCCTCCTGCGCGTCTGGTGCTCTGCACGACAGACAAGGTTCCCAGGGCTCCATCGCTCCCTGCGCGCATTCGGTGTGCTTTAGCCTGCCAGAAGGTTGTTTTGCCTCAGCATCTTCTTGGCATTTGCCTCGGCGCCTCTTCACGCGTAGTTCAGTTCACCCGTTAACTCTGAGCGGGGTGCTGAAACTCCACACTCCAGTTGCCACCCTGCACTGAAACGAGCTGCGGTTTCGAGGCGGTGACGCCTCTGCCCTGTCCGGCAGCGAGTGCTGCGGGGGTGGCAGCTGGGGGGGGCAGCAGCCAGGCGGACTGAAAGCCCTGGGTAGAAGAATCGAGTGTTCCGCACGCCCGTCTGCGTGCTCACGTCTTGCAGCCACAGACGGTGCAAGAACCGGGTGTGTCTGGGGGATCCCAGCTTCTCTGCAGAGCAAACCGTAGCGTAGCTATGAGGTGCTTAACTCTGTCTCGCTGCTGCTGAGCCAATGGTGAAACTGGTGGCTGTCTGCACAAGGTAGGAGTGCACGAAGGACCTTATGCTTACCTGACTGAAAAACGAACCCAACCCAACCCAGCATAATCTTCCATGCTGCTGCCGTGCAGGAAGGCGGCCTTTATGGGTGACTGGATTGGAACTGGGAAGGGGAAAATGCCCCTGGGCTTGCGGCCAGCACTGCAGAAGCAGCTGGGGCTTTTCTTCAGTCTCTTGGCGCAGCGCTCCTGTGTTTGCGTGGGTGCCAGATGCCTTCCTGAAGCAGTTACCGGGCAGGAGCTGCAGCTGTTCATTGTGAAATGCTGATATGGTGCTGCGCTGAACGCCAGCTTAGGGCAGCACAAGCGAGTCTTGAAGCGGGGCAAGCACCAAAATAAAATTAGTCTTGAAGCATCAGCCCTGAACAGGCGCTGATCCACTGACGCTGCAGAACGGGAGGGGAACGGGAGGCGGAGAGAGACGAGCCCCCTGGTGCCACACGCGGTGGCCTGCTGTGAAACGCATGCCGAGGCTGTGGATGCTTACACTGGAACGAGGATGTCGCTTCGTTGGCTCACCAATGTCGTCACAGCGTAAAAGCGCGGATCTGAACTGCGAAGCACGGCACGGGCGGCTGTGGGAGCAGGGAGCGTCAGCCGGGGGGGCGCTGCCACCCGTAACAAGAACGTGAAGCTGCCGCGCGGCGCAGGCCCTGGGGCGAGCGTGCGGGAGGGTGACGTGGTAGTGCGCAGGTACTCATAGGAGCAAACTGGGAAAGCATCCTAAATGCACTTTTTCTGAAGCTCTGTAGGACTGCGGTGTTCTTGTGGTGTTTGTTTGAGTTTGCTTTGTTTATTTACTTTTGGTTTGTTGATTTTATTCCCCCCGCCCCCCTCCAGTGGGATGAAGCTCTCTTAACAATGAGTAAAGGAGAGAAGGCTCAACTGGAAA